CCCTGCTCAGCCATCCCCTGACCCCAATCAGAAACCCAGTCTCCGCCTTCTCCCTTCAGGGGCCCCACCCTTTGTGTTAGCTTCAGTCATAGTGCAACAAATACAGGGCAAAGGTGTGTGTGTGTGTGGGGTGTGGTTTTCTTGGGTCAGGGGATCCCTGTACCTTGTGCTGCTGGATATGACTAGAGACGACAGATCCCGGACTGAGCTGAGTGTGTAAATGATTGTGTGTGAAAGGGTGTGTGATGCATGTCAGCATTTGTGTGCAGATGCACTAGTGGCTGTCAGTACAAATAGGATTCTGAATGACTTTGAGTATGTAATGGAGCCTCTGGAGACACTCAAAGAGTATTTGTGTGTGGCCCTAGGGACAGAACCCCTTGTCATCTGGGCTCTCTTAATGCTGTAGAGTCTTAGGGGGTACACAGTGGCTAGGTGCCTACAAGGAGGAAGAGTGTGGCTGCTCCCAAAACCACCCTTCTGATTCAAAGTTTGCCTTGGGGAAGGAGGGTGAAGGGAGGGTATGAAGCAGTGGGGGGCAAGCTGAGGAAAGGTAACCTCTCCCTTCCCTGAGACTCCTCCTAGGGAAAAACAGCCCTAAGGTCCCAACCTCTTCCCATCCCAGAAATGGTTGCAGTAGTCTATCCTGAGCTCCACTCCGCACTTTCTGCCTCCCCTGGAGTCCTACTTTTGCACCCCAGATACCGCCTTCTAGAGTCCCACCTCCCTCCAGAAGCTGTCTGTAGGATGGGATCAGGGTCTGAGCAGTCTGAAAGCTCCAAGCAGGGAAGCAGACAGAGGTGCTGCTCAGTACTGGCCCCAAACTCTGCCAGCTGGAACCATCTCCACCCCACAGCTCCCACCTGTGGTCCCAACCTTCCCGAGCCCTCACACCTTTTTCTCAGCGACCGCTCAGCTTTGCTCTCTGCTGCACTGCTTCCCAGCTTCTCTGAGTTGTTGCCTCCTCCCTCTTCCAGCCCTTGGCTCAGCCCCCACTGGTCAAACAGGTGGCACTGTTGCCACCTACAGGAGACTGTGTAGGTCCTCTCAGGAGGCCCGCAGCTGTTGTATGGCCGAGTGGGAAGATGGGAGGGAGGAAGGGGGAAGGGAGAGCAGATCTGCTTCTTTACTTGCTGGCGGTCAGGGGCCTTGGATTGAGGAATCCCTTTCTGCAGCCCTCTCTATCCTTTGGTCCCTCCTCCTGTTCCCTTCCCAGTCACTGCTGGGGCTTTGTCCTGGCTCAGAGAGGGGAGGGCTGAGGGTACAAGCAGGCGGTGGGAAGCTGGGGGGAGGTGACCATACAACTTTGTAACTTGGCAGTAAGAAGGGGCCCAGACAGCCTGCTGAAAAGGGGTATGAGTGTGGGGAAAGTCTAGCATCTATTCTCAAGCTCCTTGGGAGAACAGCCTTGATTCATTAACCTCTCTCCTCTCTTGGGCTCCTACTTTGCAAGGTACACCTTTAAGAGATTTACCTGCAAGATTCTTTCTGAACTCAGGACAGCAAATTTCCCTGTTTTTTTTGACCGGGGTCCTCATGGGCCTTGTGGATTCTGGGTGACACTAGCAGCTCTCCCCTTCCCTTATCACTTCAGACAGGAGATGTTTATTCAGGACATGCTGAGATTTGCATTTTTGCTGCCTTGTCTCCAAGGTTTCTATAGACTTTTTACAAGAATCATTTGAGGATTGTGTAGTATGTTTGGAAGATGAACACGCACAGAAGATGCTGTTCCTCTATCATCAGCAGGAGAGGGCTAGCTAGCAAGTTGCAACTGAGCACTAGACATAGGGAGTTGGGTGGTATAGGGGCCAGGGATGGCTTGATTGACCTTCCCACTGCATTTTGACTGATGAAGGGACTCAGATTTAGAGGCTAGCTAGCACAGTGTTGGTGGGAAAGGATGTTTTTGAGGGGGATAAACCCTTCTACCCCTCCCCCACAGGCACTGGATTTTTAAGAGTGAGAAGGAAGACTGGCCCTCTTATGCCAAGAGCCAGCCCCTCCCTCTCTGCCTTCCCATTGTGTCCAGAGGCTCCAGTTGGCAATGGCAGAGGCTCCTTTGCTCCCTCAGCATTAAAATGTAAAGAGCAGCAGGGCCGCTTGCTGGCAGTAGGCCAGGGAGGGCCAGCAGGTCACCTAGTCCTCTGCAGGCTTCATTCTAGGCAATGTTCAATTTTATTTGTTTGGGCTCTGGTAGATTTCAGGAGTTCTGAATTTCGGAGTTTTGGGGGGATGGTTTGGGAGCTTTTCAGGGGAAGGGAACTGGGATTTAGAATGCATGGATATGAAGCCCAGAGCTTGCAACTGCCTTGGAAAACTACAAGTCCAGTGTCAGCATCTTGTGTGTGGCATTCTAGGGCTGGCAGAGATAGAGATCTCTGTGCATACAGAGTAAGGAGTAATCTTCTCCCCTCATCTCCTCTTTTGAAGTTTAGAGAAAGCAAGAAGCCAGTACTGTTCTGTCCTGGGACTGGGGAGCAGTGTAGTCCCATGACTATCCTATGGCAAGAAATCAGGCTGGAAACAAAGCTAAAAGGCATTAGGAATGGCCTTTACTACAGCTCTAGAGAATCCCACAGAAGCTTTGACATTAGGTCTGCATTCAGGTCCTAGCTCTATTATTGTCTTTGTGACTCTAGATAAGTTATTTGAAGTCTTGGTACCTTAGTTTCCTCATCTGCAGAATAAGGATACTTATCTACCTTGGGCTTTCTTTGTAAAGAACAGATACAATTGTGGCAGAAACATGAGGATGCTTATTAGTAAAGGGAACCTTTACTTACTAACCTTCCTCCCAAACCTGGAGGTCAGGTCACTGGCTTTGCTAGTGTTATTCCAATTTCCCAGGGCAGCAAAACAATATAAAGACACATCATGTTTCCCATATCCTCTGGGAAAGAAGGAAGCTCCAAGAAGGCACGGAGGCTCATTGAATCTCCTTAATAGCTTTCCCAGGGGCTGAGGAACACTGGTTAAGTTTTTGTTTCATTCTCAGGCAAAGACGTATCTTACCAAATAGTAGATGAGCTAAGGTCTATTTATTTAGTTAACATTTAAAAATATTTCATTTACTTCATAAACCTGGAAAATAATTAATTAAGGGTACTGTTCAAACACTGGAAATCCAGAGGGTCATGGCAGGAGTGCCCCTAATCCCATTCATGAGGTGGGGTGAAGGATTTGAGCCTGGATTCCAAGCTAATACAATCTAGAGATAAGAACAGTTTGGCCTCAGTCTGAAGACAGCTATAACTGGTCACAAAAAAGAATGAACTAGATCATACTGGGGGAATGGTTTCCAATGAGTCATTAGGAAGCTCAGTTGGTTCTCTCTTCAGTAGATGTTCTAGCCAGTTTCTGGAGAAGAGAGAGCAGAAGCTGGGCTGGGGGCCTGGAGGGTGAGGGCCAACATCCAACAAAGGTTCCCTTTGCCACAGTAATTCTTTGTTCATTTTTTCAATCCAAGAAACCTAAAATCCAGATAAATTATTTTAAAACCCCTCCTGGGTTCAACCTGAAGAATCTTCCAAGCCAAACTGGGGGTAGAGATGGAAACTCCAACTTTAGTTGGCCTCTTCTTCAATAGGGGAGCAGCCAGAGAAGAAGCTGGTGTTGCTGGCCAGAGCTCGTTTCTTTTTCTTCCCTGGAGCCTTATTTTCTTGGGATTCTGTAGCTACATGTTTTGACTCTAGGAGGCTAAAGGAGGGAGCCGGAGCCTTCTTTAACATCACCTGTTCTGTATCACACATCTCTTTCAGGATCTAGGAGGAAAAGAGACAGGTATGAAGAGACCTTGGAAAGGAACAGAAGCTCAGCCTAATCAAGCAGTATAAATGTTCAACCTACTCTCAGCAGTCCAAGGTGTCCTCTAAGATTGTTCTATGGAGAAAGAAAATAGACTCTAGTCTGTGCCTAATTCTCAGTTCCCAGCAAGTTGATTATATTGGGTTGTTGAAAAAGTAATGAAATTTTTTTTTCCTGTTTTTCTATGCAAAAATATGCCAGATAACTCAACATTTTACTCCCCATCCCCTACCCATGCCCACTCTTTCTTTCACTGGTCTTTGTCATAAATAATACAGAAAAGGAGGATAACAGTTTTGTTTTTTTTAATTTTTAAAGAATTATTTATTTGGGGCTGGCAGGTGGCATAGTGGATAATGGCGCTGGACTCCCACATGATTGACCATGGTTTGAGTCCCGGACCTGGTGACTTGCATCCTCACTTTTTTTCTCTCTCACTCTGTCCAGCTCTGGTCAAATTAAAATAAATAAAATAAATAAAGTTGAATAAAATAATTCTTTAAAATAAAAAAGGAATTATTTAATTTTATTCATTCATTCATTTATTTTATTATTTATTTAGAGAGTTTTGTTTTGCTATAGGGTGTGTGCACTCACCAGAAAGACAGATAGAGACAGAGAGACAGAAACCAAGAAATCACCCCCCAGGGGGGATGGCCATGCCGCAATCCCTTCTCCTCTATTCTCCTCTCAGGATCTTGGGCACGTATGCACATGTACCCGGCATGAGTTTAAGCCACCGGGTCTGGGACTCAAACTGTGGTCAACTACATGGGAGTCCAGCGACATTGCCATGATGCTAACTGCTGGTCCCCATTTATATATTTTTTTTAAATCTTTTTTTTTGAAGAATTATTTCATTAAACTTTATTTATTTTAATTTGATCAGAGAGGAACAGAGTGAGAGTAAGAAAGAGAGAGGGAAAGTGAGAAGGCAAGCTGCCAGGTCTGGGATTCAAACTGCAGTTGGCCCTATGGGAGTTCAGCACCCCTAACCACCATGCTACCTGCTGGCCCCATCATTCATTTATTTTAATTTGACCAGAGAGACACAGAGAGAGAGAGGGAAAGTGAGAAAGCAAGCCACCAGGTCTGGGACTTGAACTGTGGTTGGCCACGTGGGAATGTCCAGTGTTTTAACCACCACTCCATCTCTGCTGTCCCTAACTAATATAGTTTTATAGTGCCTGACTTTTAGCCCACCTACCTTGCTATTGGGAGTGGCACAGACAGGGTTAAAGAAGCTCAATCCTGGCGTCACCTCTGTAGGATCCTCTAGTTTGAAGGAGCCTTCAGAATCCTGGGTCCGTTCAACAGTGCCCAAGCTATCCTGAGAATCAGAGAGGCATATTATATATTTGGCTACCAGGTTTACAAAATCAGCTTGCTTCCCTATCAGTGAGGTACAGAGCTGAGTGCCTGATCAGTCAGTCTAAGCAAGTCTTAAGGAGACCCTGCTTGAGGAGGTGATATGCTTGACATGCTCTGTCCCTTAAAGAATGGAGGCAGCCTCTGAAGGCAAAGGACTGGGTAGGATAGTGGCACAGGACATACCATGAGGCAAAGTTTAAAACCAGGCCAAGTCTTATTGGTGATTTCTTTTTTTTTTTAAGAGAGATTTCTGCTATAGGGTACATGCACTTGCTGAAGAGACAGAGAGACAGGAAGACAGAAACTGAGAAATCACCCCCCGGGGGGATAGCCATGCTGCAATACCTTCTCCTCAATTCTCTTCTTGGGATCTTGGGCACACACACATATGTGACCGGTGTGTTTTAAGCCGCCAGGTCCAGGACTTGAACCACAGTCGACTACATGGGAGTCCAGTGATGTAAACATTACACCATCTGCTGGTCCCATTATTGGTCATTTCTTTAATTAAATTTGCTCTGTCTACAACCTTCAATATTCTTTTTAGCAACCCTACAGGGTTGTTCCCTGTATTCGTATACTTTTCAGATAAAGAAACTGAGTCCAAGAAAGAGAAGTTGCATAGGTAAAAGGTGATTCTGTAGAGGAGGTTGGATTAGAATTATAGGCTGCTATGAAAGAAATGGCTGGATTCAGAATCAGGAAGCCTGAGGTCTAATCTTAGCTGTTATGACCAGCTGTGTAATATCAGGTGACTCACTTGAGCTTATTTCTGGGCCTTAATTTCCTTCTCTGAAAAATGGAAGCACTGGACCAGATCAGTGGTTTTGTACAACTGAAATCCAAAAAGGAAGCCCAATATACAAAGTAAAGGGAAAGTTGTTTTGGTTTTCTCAGGCCACACCTCTGTACCTAGAGGCATTCCATGGAGCTACTATGGAACTCTAGAACCTAAACTGAAAGTCTATGGGAACAGAGAATCTGAAGGTCCCTGTTACTTGTATGATTGACCTCTAGCTGACCATTTTAGCCCTCTGGGGCCTACTGTTCTTAGCAATCTTTTTAATAGAGGATCCAGGACAAAACTGTTCACATGTACATGTCCAAGAAATGCATGAAGAATGCTCATTAGCCCATGCTTGCTAGAATTATTATATGTCACATAGAGAATTATAGTAATGAGCTTTTGCCGTGGGCATAGGTAGGTATAAGGCAAGTTCAGGCATCTGATCTGCTTGGTGCTACTCTTATCAGGGAACATTCTGTTTCCTTGAGTTTGCTATTTCTGGGAACAATATGAAGACAGCTACAGTTAATTTGGTTCACAACAGTGACTATTAATAAAGATATGGTTCCTTAGTTATTATTGTTTTTCCTAGAGCTGTAGAGTATCTAGTTCCCATGGAGAGGGTCTAAGTAACTAATGTCTCAAGTTATCAGAGGGATTAACTTCCTTCCTAGAAGCTGCAACTTCAATATGTGGCTCTTACAGTTCCAGCTGAGTCTTTGGACTAGCTTGATCCTGTATGTCTATACACCTATAAATGCCTGCTTTCCTTGCCTGTTCCTTGTTACTACTTCAGAAACTGTACAGAAACTTCACAGCCAAGGCTGGGGTGGAGTGCTGCATATCTAGCAATCTCCTGAGAAGGGGCTTCTGAAGGGGGTATATGGATAGGCTAGCAGTGAGGAAGGATTGAGAAGTGAAATGTCTCTTTTTCTGGGGAAGAAGGAGGAAAGGTAGGAAGATCTATGCAGGAGACTTGAAGTTTCAGGAGGGACAACAGAACAAAGGGGCTACTGAGTGGAAAGTCTGAAGGGATGCAAAGGGAAACAGCAGGGATCCTACCTTGTCTGGTTGGCGGTTCCGACATTTGTTGGGGTCACAGCTGCAGTCCACACCACAGTCTGACTTTTGCTTCCTGCACCCACACTGCTTGTTCCCACACCAGCCCTTGCAGGAACACTGCAGAACAGGTTTGTAGAAAGACACATTACTGAAAGGATTAGAAGACTAGTTTAAAGTGCCTTCCCTTCATTTGGAAGACTTTCTAGAAAAAATGGAAAATACCAACATCTTTACCAAGCTTCAACCTCCTCAGTTCTCTCTTCTTTAATGAAACTATAATCACCAACAATGACCACGGGTTTACTACATACAAATCATGCCAGACAAATTCATTTTCTTTTGTAGGACAGTATACTTGAAGGACAGATCAGAGGGATTCCATAATAATGCAAGGTGACTGGGGCTGGCAGGTGTCGTGGTGGTTAATGACACTGGACGCCCACCTGGCCAACTGTGATTCAAGTCCCAGACCTGGTGGCTTGCTTTTTCACTTTCCCTGTCTCTCTCTCTCTCGTTCTGTCTCTCTCTGGTCAAATTAAAATAAATAAATAAATGAAAAAATAAATAAAGTTAAATAAAATAATTATTTTTTTAGAAAAGAAAAAAACAGTAGTTTGTGCAAAAAGGGACTAGGGATCTAAGGCGTCAGCAAGCTCTGTGAGTCAACAGTGTGAAATGGCTGTCAAAAAGCCAATGCAGTCAGGCAGAAATCTAGAGTTCAGAAAACATGGGACTAATTATTTCATCGTATCCTGGGTCAGTCAGACTCCATTTGAAATAATGCACTCTATTTTAGGACAGCATAATGTTTTTCATGCATACAAATTTAACAAAATAATAATAAAAAACCTCACTTATGTCCTCACCACCACTTTTTTTAAAAGAATTATTTAACTTTATTATTTATTTATTTAAAAAAATTGACCAGAGAGGTACAGAGTGAGGGGGGTGTTGGGGGGAAGTGAGAGAGCAAGCCGCCAGGTTTGGGACTCAAACCATGGTCAGGCATGTGGGAGTGTCCAGTGCCTTAACCACTACGCCACCTGCTGGTTCCTGGGAGTATTCTTATTTTGTGACAGAATGGATATTTGCATAAATTCAATAATACCTGTTGTCTTAAATCAGAACTTGGAAATACTTGTTATTGGACAGGGCTTTGACTGGAATGTTTTTTACATTTATATTCTTTTTTTTTTTTAACCACATAGGTGTTTTTATTTAAAAATAAAGACATTGGGACCAGCAGGTGGCACGGTAGTTAAGGTGATGGACTCCCACAGAGCCAGCCGCACTTTGAGTCATGGACCTGAAGGCTTCCTTTCTCACTTTCCTCTCTCTCTGCCTCTCTCTGGTAAAATTAAAAAATAACGGAATGAACGAATGGATAAATAAATAAATCTTAAAAAAACCAATTTGGGCGATAAAACTAGGAACAAAAAAGGAGGGGAGAAATAGGAAGAAAGAATCAAAGCAAGCCACCAGGTCCAGGACTTGAAACGTGGTGAGCCATGTGGGAGTGTCCAGCACCTTAACCACCACGCCACCCGCTGGTCCCATTAAGTAGTTCTTTTAAAGAATAAAAATAAAGGAGTTATTTGAGCCAGCAGATAGCACAGTGGTTACAGTGCTGGACTCCCACATGGCCAACTGTGGTTGGAGTGCTGGGTCAAGTGGTTTGATACTCACGCTGGGTGTGTGCATGCATGCCCAAAATCCCAAGAGGAAAATAGAATGTGACATGGCCATCCTCCCTGGGGAGATGACTTCTTGCTTTCTGTCTCTCTTGTCTTTCTCTTTCTGGTGAGCATATACATCGTACAGCAAAAATCTCTCTTAAAAAAAGGGGCTGGCAAGTGGCATGGTAGTTAAAGCTCTGAACTCCCACATGGCCAACCATGTTTCAAGTCCCAGACCTGGTGGCTTTCTCACTTTCCCTCTCTCTGTGTCTCTCAGGTCAAATTGAAATATAATAATAATAATAATAATAAAGATATTATTAAGAGTAATAATAAAGTTAAAATAATATCTTGCATATTTAAAAATTATATAAATGACATCTTATTATAAGTTGATATTTTATTTCCAATCATTTTGTGCACTTATGAACAAAAAACATGGTTAAATGGGCTTACTACATGGAAAGCCCTTATATCAGTACCTGCCATACATTAATGTTAGGTATTACTATTACGACTTTGTTTGTGAGAGTAAAAAGTGGCACCATCAAGAGAATGGAGAAACTGTGACATGTTTGTAGAGTGAAAATGATTGGAACTAGAATATTAACGTAAAAAGTGCCAGGGGGTGGTGCAGTGGTTAATGGCGGTAGATTCCCATGTGGCTGACTGTGGTTCAAGTCCCGGACCTGGTGGCTTGCTTTCTCACTTCCTCCTTCTCTCTCTCTTTCTCTGGTCAACTTAATAATAACAGGTGGAATTAAATAAATAATTCTTTTTTTTAAAAAAGAATATCAACGTAAAAGATACCATTTAAAAACATATGTTGTGGGGTCGGCAGGTGGCATGGTAGTTAAGGGTGCTGGACTCCCACATGGCTGACTGTGGTTCGAGTTCTGGACCCGGTGGCTTGCTTTCTCACTTTCCCTATCTCTCTCTCTCGCTTTGTCCCTGTCTCCTTCTTTTTTTTTTTTTTTTTCCTTTTTTGGAGAGCTTTTTGCTATCGTGCGTATAGCCATTACGCTAACTGCTGGTCCTCCTCCTACCCTGTCCCGTTCTGATCAAATTAAAATAAATGGAGTTGGAATAAATAATTCTTAAAAACCAAAACCAAAACCAAATACATATGCAGTAACTCCTTTATTTGTATAGAAACAGTCTTTTTAAAAATTTATTTATTTAATTTTATTCATTAGTATTATTTTTTAATTTGGTATGGGGCACGTGCACTCACCAGAGAGACAGAAACACAGAGAAGGGAAAGTAAGATAGCTAGCCACGAGTTCCGGGACTTGAACTAGGGTTCGTTATGTGAAAATCCAACACCTTAACCACCATGCCACCTGCTGGCATCAACTCCTTTATTTTTAAATAAAATTGACTATGTGGTTAAAAAAATAAAAATGTGTAAGAATGGTAAAAACCTAATTCAAGAGATTGTTTACTCCTGGGAGAGAGGGAGGTGAAAGGGGTGAAAGACCTCAGTTACAATCTGCATTTTACTTATTAAGAGTGGAGAAGGAGGAGATTCTGAGGGAAGACTTTAAGGAGAAAAAATGTGAAACAAGACATTTATGGAACAAAGAAATGGATTATTATCTGTTGATAATGTATATAGTATCCTCAACTGGATTAGTGAGAAATGTATTCATGTTGGAAAATTCACTTTACAAACTAAGTGATGTATAGTGATTGAAAGTATAAAAGAAATTAAAATATGCTAATAAAAAAAAAGTGGTGGTGGCAGGGACAGGAGATGGCATAGCGGTTATGTCGCTGGACTCCCACATGGCCGACTATGGTTTGAGTCTTGGACCCAATGGCTTGAAACACACACAGGCATGTATGTGTGTGTGTCCAAGATCCTGGGAGGAAAATGAAGAAGAGACTGCAGTGTGATCATTCCCCCCAGGGGGTGATTTCTCACTTCTCTCTATCTCTGTCTCCCTCTCTCTAGTAAGCACATACACTCTAAGGCAAAAACCTCTCAAAAAAGAGGTGGTGGGGACATGACTGGGTTTTTAAAAATTATTATTATGTCACTTTTGTTCTGTAGTTATGAAGGTAAAAGAATCCATAATAACATCTTTTTTTCTGATTATGAGAATAAAATATCGGGTTGTCAGAAAAGTCACATCATATTTTTTTTATGTTTTTCTATGCAAAAGTGCATCATGACTTTTCCGACTATATAATTTTATAACATTTGAAAATAAAAACATGACTTTTAATAGTTGTATATAATATTTCATAATGGACATGTCAATTTCCTTAGCCAATCCTCTAATGTTTGATAGGAAGATTGTTTCAATGATCTGGTCCCTGATTACCCCCTTTGATGTTACCTCATGCTACTCTCTCCCACTTCGCAGCACACTTTAGCCACACCAGATTTTCTAAAAAGAATTATTAATTAATTAATTAATTACTATTTTTTAATTTGACCAGAAAGAGACAGAGACTGAGAGAGAGGGAAAGTAAGAAAGTAAGCCACCAGGTTCGAGACTCAAACCACTGTCAGCCATTTGGGAATTCAGCGCCTTAACCACCATGCCACTTGCTGGCCTCCTGGATTTTTAAAAAAATGTATATATGTATGTTGCTACTGGGCATGTGTTCTTGCTGGACACACACACACACACACACACACACACACACACACACAGAGAGAGAGAGAGAGAGAGAGAGAGAGAGAGAAATCCTTCTTACCACAGGGGATAGCCATGCTATAATCTCTTCTCCATTCTCCTCTATGGATTTTGGGCTTGCATGCACATGTGCCCAGCATGTTTTCCAAGGTACAAGTCTGGACTTGACTGAGCAGTCAGATCCAGTCGCCTTAATTATCATGTCATTTGCTGGCCCTTCTAGTATCCTTTTAGTGTCCATGAGGTAGTAAACTTATTCCTGCCCCCAAGGTCTTTGCATATGCAGTTTCCCTTTACTGAAATATTCTTCCTGTGATTCTCTTACTTACTTGCTTCCTCATTTTGTTCAGATCTCGGCTTAGATATCTTGTCTTCAAAGAGGCCTCTCTTCGAAAGTACTCTTTTCCTACCTCATCATTTTCTATGACTTTTCTTTGTTTTTTTCTCTTATCGCCATCTAACATTATTTAGGTTTTCTGGTTATTGTGTGTCTCACGCCACAGAAATGTCAGTTTCACGATGGCAAGGGTATTATCTGTCTTGTTTATTATACTCTCAGCACCCAGAAAAAGTATTGGGTCGTCGGAAAAGGCATGATATATATTGCTATGTTTTTCTTTTTCCTTTTTTGGAGAGGTTTTTGCTATAGGGAGCGTGTGCTTGCCCAGAAAGACAGAGAGATAGAAAATGAGAAATCACCCCTCGGGGAGATGGCCACGCTGCAATTCCTTCTTCTCTATTCTCCTCTCGGGATCTTGGGCACGCACGCACCTGTGCCTGTCACGGCGGGTGT